ATTCATCAGATGTGAATTGTGTGCCATTATCACAGATGATCTCTTCGGGTATACCTTGCTCTGCGAACAGACCTCGGGTGATTGAAACAATGGTTGACGCCTTGAGATTTGGCACGTTCTTCACGAACGGGAACTTTGAATAGTAGCACACTACTTATAAGAACCATTGTTGGTTGATTGTGAAGAGATCTACTCCCACTGTTTGCCACGGTCTGCTTGGGATTTCGGTTGCGATCATCTCCTCTTTTTGTTGAGAGTTCTTGTGTTTTTGGCACGTCTGACATCCTGCAACCATCTTCTCGATCGCTTTGTACATTCCTACCCAGTATACAGCAGATTTGGCTCTTAGCCTGCATTTTTCTGCTCCCAAGTGTCCTTGATGTATCAGGGCTAGGACTTCTTCTTGCATGGCTTTGGGCACAATGATCCTTGATCCAGCTAGCAGGACTCCATTTTCCACTGCGATGTCATCGCGGATTGTCCAGTAGTCACGGATGAGGGGCTGCACCTCACTCCTCTTTTCTGGCCATCCTTGTGTTACCATCTGGGTGAGTAGCTGGAGTTCTTCTTCTCTGCTGGTCATTTCTTGGATTTGTTCCAGTTTGATACTAGTCACGTTTACGAGGTGGTGGATCTGTACTTTAAGTCCTTCCATCTCTTCTTTGTCTTGTTGTGACAACCTGGACAATGCGTCTGCAAGCAGCATGTCTTTCCCTGGCTTGTACCTGATGTTGTGGTCGTAGCTCTGCAACCTCAGCAACAGTCTTTGTAACCTTGCTGGTGCTTTTGTCAGGTTCTTCTTGTCAAATTGCTCCAAGGGACGGTGGTCTGATTCAATGTCAAAGCTCCTTCCATAGAGGTATGTATGGAATTTCTCACAACCGTAGACAACAGCTAACAGTTCTCGTTCGATGTTCGCATACCTCGTTTCTGCTGGCGTAAGCGCTTTTGAGGCGAATGCGATTGGTTTGTTATCTTGCATGAGTACTGCTCCCACTCCCTTCATAGAAGCGTCTACTTGGAGTGTCACAGGCTTTTCTCTGTCATAGAACTGCAGGGTCGTCTCCTTGCTGATGAGAGCTTTTATTCTGTCGAAGTCTTGCGTGTGTGATGGGCTCCATTTGAACTCTGCATCCTCTTTTAACAACTCCCGCATGTTTGCTGTATGCTCGGCGAGTTTGGGAATGAAAGACCCCATATACTGTATCAGCCCAAGAAAGCTTCTCAGATCCTTCTTGTCTTGTGGCTGTGTCATTTGGTTGATTGCTTCGACTTTGCTCGGATCCGGCTTTACTCCAGCTGCTGAGTAGATCATTTCGAAGATTTGCACTCAGATTGCTTGATTATGCACTTGTCAGCATTCAGCTTTATGCCGGCCCTTCTTGTTTTTTCCATTGCTTCATGTAGGTTGACGTCATGGGTGTCTTTATCTTTGCCAAATACTTGTACGTCATCAGCTATGCCTACTGCTCCCTTGCATCCTTTGTAGGCTTCATCGATGGAAGACATCTTGTGATACCCGGAGGCCGAATGGCAAGCGGTTGAACTTAAACCTGCCATATGGGCTGTTGAAGGTCGTCAGGAGTGATGACTCTTCATCTAGCTTGATATTCCAGTAACCATTGCTTGCATCAAGCTTACTGAATACTTGTGCTCCTGACATGGCGGGTGTGATTTCTTCCAGTGTCGGGGTCGGGTAGTGGTCCCTCTTTAATGCATTGTTTAAATCACGGGGATCCAAGCAGATGCGCAGCTTGCCATTTGGCTTCTCCTTTATTATGATCGAGTTCACCCAGTCTGTCGGTTGGGTCACTGCGCTGATTATGCCTCTGTCTTGCATCTCCATCAGTTGGTCTTTTAGCCTCTCTTTTAGTTCAAGAGGTACACGACGTGGAGGGTGGACAACAGGCTTCGCAGTTGGGTCTACTGTTATGTGATACTCCCCCTCAAAACAGCCTACAGTATCATCAAAACAATCAGGATACATGGCAAATAGATCGGCCTTGTTGTTAATGGGTGGTCGATCCTTGATGGGCACTTCACTGTCGATTCTCTGTGTCGACTTCACTTCGTGGTTGATTTTGATGACGTTCATCTGTTGACACGCCTTCAACCCAAGGATAGCTGGTCCTTGTGACATGGTGATGTAGAAACAACATCTGACATCTCTTCCATTGTGTTTCCCTTCAATGATAGCTTTTCCCAGATGTGGAATCTTTGCACCCCCATACGCTGTTAATATTGTGCTGCTGGGCGTCAGTATTCCCTTCTTTACCACTCCGTCTTTGGTGATGTTCTCTGGGAATATTTTGCTATACTGTTCTATTGGCAAGATGTTACTTTGAGCTCCTGTATCAATTTTCAGTCTGAGCTTGATGTTCATTCTCTTTTTGCCTATTTTCTTCTTGATCTGCAGTGTTGTGTACGCCTCATCTTTCTGTTTGTCATGTTCCAGTTCATGGACATGGATGGTTCCAATTGTAAGAGACTCTTCCTCTGAGCTACTCTCTCTTCTCTGTTGGAGATGTATTTTCTTCTGTTTTGACCTTGCATCACTTCTGGAATGCAGTGGCTTACCTTTAGCATTTGTCGATCTGCACATCTTCTTCCAGTGGTCTGGTTTCCCACAGGAGTTGCATGTTGCTCCATAGGCAGGGCACTTATTACGGTCGTTGAACATGATGTGTACCACAGTACCTACAGATCTTATCGCCTTGCTTGGGTACCGTTTTGTAGCTTTGCTTCTGTCTCGGGCTTGACCCATAGCTTCGTTTGATGGTCTCAACTTTGATCTTGTTTGTACTCGCTTGCGAGGAAAGTGATGACATCTGTTTTGAGGTAGCCTCGAAAGCTCTAGCGGTATCCGCGGCTTCTTTTAGCGTCAGCGTGTCTTTTCCAACGAGTGACTTCTGGACCTCATTATGCGCACACCCCCAGATAAGCTGGTCTACGATTCTCTCATCTGTGTTGTTACCAAACCCACATTTCTTCGCCACAATTTTCAATCGAGTTGATTCATCAGGGTTTTGTTTCATGCTTTGAAACTGATAGCGATTGATTCGTTTGTTTGTTTTGGGCTCCAGATGGTTGGCAAATCTTTCTAGAATCTTCTCTGGCTTCTTTTTGTCTGCTTCCGTCATGTCCCATGAGTTATACAACTCGAGTCCTCTTTCCCCGGACCAAAGTAGGATGTAACTAACCTTCTGTTCCGGTGTAGTTTCCTTGAGGAAGCTTTTGAAGCACAGATCAGCTTTTTGTTTGAACTTCTGGAAGGCTCCGATGAGATCGTCTTCGTCCCAGTTCATCGACGGGTGGAGTCCCCTTGCTCCTTCGGCGGTCGCCATTTTCTTCTGTTATTTCTTGGAAACCTCTCCAATTTTCTTCGTTCTCCGAGGACGAACGCAAGAAAATGGTTACTGCACGACACGTACGGTTCCTTGAACACCGCTGCCACCATGTCGTGCATCGATGTCTGGCGGATGACTGATTACTTTCCTGATATCATGACGATACACAAGAGATATGAGAGTTGACTGTAATCTTTATTTACATGGTTTCTCAGTGTGTTCTTGTGACCCACAATGCAATGCGGCCAAGGCCCCTTATGTGTTTTATGTTTACCTGATGATTATCAGACTATGTAACAACTAGAAAACCTGCTAACTCATAGGTGACAGCCTATACTGGAGACTATGGGTCGTAGAGGGACACTTTTTTGTGGATTTTGGGAAGGCCGTAGAAAGCAGGGGGTTGTGCCGTTGTGGGATTGAGTTTTAGGTAGGTGGGGCGATCCAGAACTCCTTTAGTTTGCAATTTCTTGAGAGCTGAACTGATTTTCCATTTAAACTTGTTAGTGGGGTCCTTTTTCAAGGGCGTGTAGGTGTCTTTGTCTCCCAATAGGTCCTGTACCTTCCTGTCGTACTGCTCCCTGTCTAAAACTACTGTGCATCTGCCCTTGTCTGCTGGAAGAATCAATATGTCTTGATGCAAGTTCAGATGCAAGTTTGCAAGTGATTTCAATGCGTCATTTCTTGAGTCTGACGCTGTTTGCACGACCATCTTTGGTACTGCAAGAACTTTTAAATCATACGTCCTATCTATGCTGAATTTGGATTCATACAACTTTTTAAGAACGTGGTGCATGATGGGAAGGTGATAACGGACCTGACCCAAACGTACCGTCAGCTGGGAATCCAGGCTACTGCGCATGTGCAGCTGCAGTCTTGGGACCCAGGGAACCCACCCGCTATACCAACTCTTGAAGGTCAGTAAGACTCGCAAATGTCTTGGGTTATACTTATAGTTCAGTAGTTAATAACAAGGTAAAGTCGTGACTATGATTACTCTTATCATGAAAGTTCATCTGTGTTGGTAGTTACATGTTTTTTAAAGAGTTCAAACTTTCAACCCGACACAAAAAATTCTCTCACCTAGAGATTTCCATCAGTCACTCTGATCTTCCACAGTAGACTGACTCAGAGAGTGACGTCAAAACTGGGTCAAAGGTATCTGGTAGACGATGTCGGCCCCCGTCGCGGCTCAGTGAAGGGTGATGGGCCCTGATGTATATAGCCTCCTTTACCCCTCTAAGAAAATAATCTTGATCAGTGTCCAAAATCTTTACAGTGTCAAGTGAAACAAAGTGTCCGGGTGACTCTATGTGGATGTGTTGTGACACTTCTGAACTGGCTGAGCTAGGCCGTGTATGTTCTTGGAACCTGGCCTTCAGAGACCTTTCTATTTCTCCGATGTACGTTTCATGACAGGGCCCCTTGTTGTTTTTGCCCTGGCAGGGGATGTGGTAAATGACAACACACTTCTTCTCTTTGGGGGTTTTGTCCTTGGGTGCAACGAGGATGTGTCTTTAGGTTGTGGTCGGTATGAAACAGGTAGAAATCCCGTGTGAGATGAAAATCCTTGTGGGAGCTTCCGACAAGTCCTTGATGTGTGGAAGGACGATCAAACCCTTGGACTTTGTTCCTGCTGAAGGCTTGTGATAGCAAATGACCAACTTTGACCCCGGCCCATGTCTATTTCTGCAGTCTAAACTTTCTTCTCCTAGTTAGGCACTAGAAGTCAGCACATTAACCAAGGGGTATAGAATTTGCACGTGCGCGAACAATGCACAACCCTTAATCATAATGGCATCAACAGTACAAGTATCATCTTCTTTATCTTTCGACGATATCCAATGTCGGATTTTCTTATTTTACTTTCAGAAGTCGAAGAGATCGAGAAGGCAATAGAGTCACTGATACAAGAACTTCAGGTATCGTTTTGCCGATGTTGAATTTTATGTAATATCTACTTAAATTTGCGTTACATATCATAGACTAAAACAATGCATTATAGCAAAATGGTTTGTAGATTCAAATTGAATGAATAATTACATTGTTTATGGTTTTAGGACGTTGAACAGGGGAAAGAGGATTCGGACACTGAAAGTGACGCGATTACGAAGGAACAGACTGAGGAACAGAACGTCTGGTAAGTTGTACAAAGCTCGAGTAAAACCTGTGAAAATTACGGTAATGATATTTTAGAAGATATCCATCGCATTTTGGAAGCAATTTCTTAGACCGTGCTTTTCGATTAGATGTTCCTTATAGTTTTAGACAAACTTATATAACTTTCATGATCGTCTTCCACTGCCTCAAAAGAAGTCAAACCCAGCAACACTAGTACCACGTATGTTATTGAATGTAGTATATTGTTAGACGTTGTTTCTTATACCATTGTATTCCCTTTTTAAACATGTTCCGTAGATAAGTAGATAATTAAAGAAATTAAATAAATTCCATACACGTTGTTTGTACCTGCCTGCAATTAGCCCTCGGGCATATATTTGCAACAAACTTCTCCATGAATATGTCAAACTAAACTGTGTTTCTCCAGGTCGGCCGTTCGCCGTATCCTGTGGCGTCACCTGGAGCTCCGGTACGGAGACCCCCACATCCCGCCCGGGGCCCTGAAGATGCTGATCCGGGCGGTGGGGGAGGACACCGTGGCGGGGGAGGTCTTACAGACCATCCTGGAGGCCGCACTGGAGCAGCAGGGGGAGGGAGGCACGGAGCAGCAGGGGGAGGGGGCGNCATGTTTTGGAATATTCCATTTCATGTCCTTTCTCTAGGCACGTTATGGAATATTCCGAAACATGTTTCAGACACGAAATGGAATATTCCAAAACGTGCTTCAGACATGTGGGCTTGGGAAAGGGCTTCGACAACAACAGTTTGTGTGGAGTTGTTGAGTTTGAACATTTGTTGATGAATTTTTAGATTGTGAAAGGGATGGCCGCCACAGTTGCGTGTGAGCCATGCTTCGGTTACCGCCAGTACACGGCCGAAGCATAGTTGTGTGCGGTGTCCGACGGGCATGCCGTGACTAACACCGAGGAGGTTTAGAAGGTCAAAATATAGAGGCCGACAGCATGGGCAAAAGCTACCAATTTGAAACTTTGGGAAATATTTGACGTTAATCATGATTTAGATAGTTGACACAGGTATTCTAAAACGCGCGTGTGACATTTTGAGACTCCCATTTCATCATTAAAGTTTACACGTCTGACAGCCTGTAGCTACATGTATAATGGAACGCTAAGCGTTACAAAACATGCCCAGACACGTATCATTTAGCCACGCCCTCAGAAGTTCGAAGCTCCGCCCCCTAAGTACGAGGCTCCGCCCCCAGACACGTGATTACGAAAAGTCATGCTTTGGAATGCATCACGTTTTGGAATGCAACAGGCATTCCACTTCGTGTTATTCCAAATCATGTTTTGGAATGGACCACGTTTTGGAATGCAGGTGCATTCTATTCCAAATCATGATTTGGAATGGACCACGTTTTGGAATGCAACAGAAGTTCAGCTGATTAAATCATGGAGTTACACGTATTACAAGCTCCCCCTGACGGATTTGACAGACATTGAAATTGGTCGTTTGCTCGAGAATTTATATTGAATCAAACCATCTCTGTGGGCAAGGATTTCAACACTGCGGTGCAAATATACCGGTCTTGAAGAATATATTTTCGTGACATGTGACATCCATCTATATATAGATCGAGCGAGCGAGCCATACATGAACGTTGGCCAATCAATCAATCAACCAAGAAATCAACCAACCAAGGAACCAATCAATAAATCAATCAATCTGAATTTATATCTCTACATTCTTAACGTTACTTATCTATCTGATCTTCGATTAATTACATGAATGATACAACGTGTATTTACCTAACTCATAATGTTGATGGCAAGTTGTGGTACATTTCAACAAGTTAGTCGACGGAAAACATGCTCTTAACATATCGAAGTTTCACAGTTTTGTAAAAAGAAGTCAAACCCAACAAATGTAGTTCAATCTATACTTTAACTATTATTAAGTATACAGTAGTTCTAAATAGCATTAATATATATTCGTCAACGTTATTTCCATGTTACATGTACCTGCTATTAGCCTTTGGGAATGCATATGTATTCGCAATAAAAGTATGAATGCATCTTGGTTTTCATGCTTAGTAACGCTTTTGCAAAGTTATTCCTCAGCCTCAGCCAAAATCCAACTTCGAATCTTTTTATGAGCGTGTGTTCATCCAATCACGCAACCATTCCATGATGACCCCCCCCCCCCGTACCACGGTGTTTGTCCAGGGTCGGCCATGAGCATGTCAGGTGGTGTTGTGGAATGTCAGGTACATCAAACTTTATACTCTGGGA